GGCTCACCAACGCACTTGCTGGACGTCGCAAGTCTCTAGCCGATGACGGCAAATCGAGCGTGCGAATCGAAGCTTCTATACAGAATAAAAAGCTTCCACAGGATGGGCATAGGATGAGCAGTGTATGTGCTGGCAAATGTCTCGCTGGTTTCCAGTCAGATGATGCCTGGATTCATTTTGGTGGTGAATTAGATGCTGCTGCTGCACTTGCACATCTCAAGAAAGAGGGCCACTATCTGTGGCGCGTGGAGCCGGGAGCGTTGACATCGCGTGCCCTCGATGAACCTGTGGAATTCATTCTTTCATACGCGGCTTCCGACGGTCTCAATGTTTGTCATGCAATCTTTTTTGGTGTGCCATTGTGCTCTAATGGTGAGGCCGGTTTCGACTACGTGAGATTCGGGGGTGGGAGCCGAGATCCGCGTCTCGTGGACCGAAAGCGTGAACTTACAACCTGTGGCCTTGTCCCGTCTCTCCGAGAAGTTGTCAGCTTACATTTTGCTGATGTTGCGTTTTCAGGCGTCTGCTTCACAGACGTTGGTAAGACTCCGCCACCGGCCCCGCCTCCCACTGCGCCTCCTAGAAAGGATCCGAAAGCGGCGCCGCGGCAGAGGACACCCATGCCACACCTTGGCACTGACGTGCGTGATCCGGTGTGTGAACGCCGTGTTTTAGTGTGATTTTTCAACGACTTGAGAACAACTAGGTTGAATCTCTTTTTCGGGAGCAGCTAAGACACGTGTTGCTCATTGAGCTTCAGGCAGCGGTGGAGATGGCAGAAGACGTCTCATCCACACTTCCAGGTCGTATGGGTCCTTACCATAAGTTCCCCCGCGTGGGGCGCGTTGTGGGTTTGATGATGCAGTCAAAGAGCTTAGTTACCCAGAGCGACTGGTGTCATGGGCGAGGCCCACATGCTGCCTTGCGCCTCCTCAAGGCCATCGATGCTACTCTTGCCCACGGCGGCGTTTTTATTGCCACAGATGGCCACTCTACTAGGACAGCACGTGCTTGTTATTGTGAATATTTCTTCCATGCAGCGCGCGGCGACTCGAAATCAGCCTTCCTCCGCAGCACCACAGCCGCAATGTGCCCCGAAGCTCTGGCCGCCTGTGATGAGTTGGTTGGAATAACTGCGGCCAATTGTGCGCTTCAGACAAGGCGCAGAGCTACAGAAATGGCCTGGCTCGTTGCCGCATTGCGCATGCGTAAACTCCATGGCTGTCTTTATGACGCAGCTGCAGGCACAGCTGTAGATGGAATGGCCTACTACACGGCCGACTCAATTTTTCTCGAGCCCAATGACTATGGTCGTCTTCTCTGGTTTGCCAAACGGATTGATGCGCTCGACATGGAGCCGCCAATTGATGCCCTCCGACGGGATAACCCCGAGCTTTTTGCTTACTGCTCTTCTCATGGAAACAAACATCTTGTCGAACCTCGAACGCCATTCTCGCCGCCACCAAGAGACGCCCATCCCTCACGCCACCCCCAAGTCAATGTTAAATCCCGCAAATCTGGTGATAACGACTCAAGCATCGCGATTGACAAGAGCATGGACGTGGTGCTTGCATGTCAACGACGAATTGCGATTGCAGCTACGCTTGAGACACGGTCAATGATAGTGCCCTCAAGAGTTGTAGGATGCTCACAAGGCCACAGCTCTGCTGCAGCAATCAAAGTCAATTATCTGCTTCGACATCGTCCAACAAGTGAGTCTCTTATCGCGAGGGGCATCATCCGAAGCGGAGCCTGGCTTAACATTGAACTAGCCCGCCGCTGTGAACTTCTGACAGAGCCTCAATTGCAAATCGAGCAGGGCTGCGAGCAGCTTGAGAAGAGACCAATGACCGCACCGTATAACGCTGGGCACCTTGACTCATCTCGAGATGAGACCCAGGCAGCAACATATTATCGAATTTGGTTGTTGCAAGCGACGACGGTGGGTGGCGAAAAGCGAGTCGTCCCCATCTCTCGCGACAGTGTAGCTCCACCCTATGCGCGGAAGCGATTTCGTGACTTTTGGTCTCTGCGTGAAGCACTCGTAACTAGCACTGGTTCGTCAGTGCGAGTTCCCGGGCTACCGCCGCGAAGGTTCCCGCGGACTGCGGTTACCATGGAAAAGCGCCGTGCGGGTCTGGAAGAGTTTTTAACAGCCCTTTTGACCAACCCTTGCTGGCGCCACTCTCATGAACTTGGTGAGTTCTTGACCTGCAATATTTTGGAGCCCTGTGATAGCGACTTGAATATTGAAGCTGAAGACGAGGGCAATTCAAGTTCCAGCGATCACGAGCCAAACACCAGGAGTCTTTTAGGTCGAGATGCCATCAATGGCATAACACCGAGTCGAGCGCCACCCTGGAGCCCGAGTGCAAATGATGAAATTGGAGTAAATCCGCAACTCCCGTCACCCATTCGTACCATGGATCTTGTATCAGCGCCTTTCATCGCTGCCGCTGCTCTGGTTGCGCCGAAGAAAGTCAACAAACGCACGATGCCTCCTATACGGCAGCCTGACTCTGCAGATTGGCGTAAGCTTCGGCGCGTTGAGCACCGGTGCTACGTCTTCCTCCGAGTATTCTTCGAGATCGAACGCCTCGGTTTATTGCGCCGTAACTTTCTTGCTCTCATTCGTCGTGTGACAATTACGCTCTGGTCGCCCTCACTCGCTACTTGGCTCGGAGATCAGGCCAAACGCGAACACAAAGTTGGTTCATTGTCCGGACTCATAAGAAGGCTAAACGGGATCTTATGGCAAAATAGCTGCGAGAATGAAAGCAGCCTCGACCCTCAAAGTCAAGCTGTTATCGTTGCCATCCTGCGCAGAGACCTTGTTGCCGCGGTGCCCTCATCATTTATATCTCTCCTGGGTCAAAAGGCCACCGAAGACGCCGCAGACAAGCTTCTTGAGCTCGTGCTTTGCCCCATCCAGCTCCGTAGCGCCGCACTCACCTTCCTCGATCTTGCCATCGCCGAAATATTCCCCGAGCTAGAACTTGAAGTCGCCGGCATGAACCATCTCGCTTAGCGCCCCTGGTGACCACCGGGAAATTTTAGTTCGCCGAGCTTCTCGACATACTCAGAGAAGTTCGCTAATTGACATCAGAAGCCTCGATCTGGCTGCAGGGCTGCCGGGCCTTGGCGGTAGGCTGTGGGGGAACTCACACATATAGGAAATGAGCCGTAGTGATTATAATTGCCCAACGTATATATCATAAACGATGCGAGCCATTCGTTTAAAGGTCTGCATCTCCTTCAATATAAGCTGTGCGCTCCGAGCCATCAATATCCCAAAATTCATCATAGATTGTGAAGTTTATTCCGTCAAGGGTTAGTTTTGTTTATGCAGGGACGAAGAGTGCCATTCAACTCTTTCTATTTTAGCGAGACAGCGAGATAGCACACTCGGGGAACCAGCCTAGTTAGGATCGAATGCGGGAAATTCGACGGGCCCTAACATATCCCGCCGGCGGGATATGCTAAACGCCGCTTCAACTTGGGCTTCAACCTCAAACCTTGCACTTCAACGGGGACCTCAACACAGCCGCCTGCCCTTCAAAAGGGATCTCAACACCGCCGCTCACGCCTTGCGGGGGGGCTCTGACGCGCCGCCCACGCCTTAGGGGGCGCAACCCGCCCCAAACCACGTGCCAGAAGCCCTCAGCCAATCCCGCAAGCAGACTCTCGGAGCACCTCCGGAGTCACCCATGGGTAAGAAGTGTCCACCGCCGCCACCTAGGCTTCAGGCGTCGCGCTCCACGACCAGCTCGGCGCGAGGGGCTGCCTCTCGGAGGGCGAGTGCAACATCAGCTCGAGTTCGAATCGACCAATGGGAAGCCCGCATTCGCGCGCGCGGCGACGCCAGGGCCTCGATTCCGAGCCGGCCACCTCGGCGCATGGCCCGGCAGCCCCCACGGACTACCCTACGACTCCGCCGGCGGAATCGGCGCGATTGGGACGTCCCGGAAGGCGACCCCCGGATGCGGGTGCCAGCCCTGTGGCTTCGGCCCTTTTATTAGTCGCTTGCCAGTGCGGCTCCGGGAGGCGCCTTTGATCCTATCCTGGTACAACTTTTGGTTGTTCTGGTCTGTTATCAGAACCTCCACATATTTGGCATCATGTTCCATCTCTGTTTTGACCCGCTTAGTGTGGGTTTTGAACTAGAACTTCTCTGAAAGGGCTGTATTTCCGCGGACCAAAACCCCTATAAGGGAAGCGCGGCTAGCAGGACGAGCAGCGAGAGCACAGCGAGGGCAGGCAGCGGGGGAAGGTGCACTGCAATATCAAAGTGCAGTTCACTTACGTGAAGGTAGAAACCTCTATCTCTCTAGGAGAACCAAGCCAAAACGCACTGCGTCCAAGAAAACAACAGGAAGTGTGTGCACTACGATCTAATACCTGCACCACTGTATTTTACAGCGCAGTATCACACTTAAGCGCCGAGCACATCATATGGGAGTTTGTCCTCATCGTCTTCTGAGTCAAAGCTAGGGCCAAGCCGCGAGTCTCCAAGCGCAACGGTCTCGAGCATGGCGCCTGATGTGAGGGGTATCTCGGGCGCAAATTGCTGAAGTTTCTTTTTGGGTGGGGCACGCTGTTTCCCTAGAGAAGCCACTACAATCTAATACCAGCACCACTGTATTTTACAGCGCAGTATCACACTTAAGCGCCGAGCACATCATATGGGAGTTCGTCCTCATCGTCTTCTGAGTCAAAGCTAGGGCCAAGCCGCGAGTCTCCAAGCGCAACGGTCTCGAGCATGGCGCCTGATGTGAGGGGTATCTCGGGCGCAAATTGCTGAAGTTTCTTTTTGGGTGGGGCACGCTGTTTCCCTAGAGAAGCCACTACAATCTAATACCAGCACCACTGTATTTTACAGCGCAGTATCACACTTAAGCGCCGAGCACATCATATGGGAGTTCGTCCTCATCGTCTTCTGAGTCAAAGCTAGGGCCAAGCCGCGAGTCTCCAAGCGCAACGGTCTCGAGCATGGCATCTGATGTGAGGGGTATCTCGGGCGCAAATTGCTGAACTTTCTTTTTGGGTGGGGCACGCTTTTTCCCTAGAGAAGCCTTCACATATTTCTGTAAATGGCGGAGCGTGTCGTTGTCAAGGGTTTCGATATCGACTTCAATTTCATCACCGTCGTGGCGACTGGTGAGAGGCATTGACTCTTGCACAATCTTGACGACATGGGCAAGCTTTTCCGGTGGCAGAGAATTGATGTCGTTGGAGAGAGCCTCCTTTTCGTCAAAGGTCAGGGGCTTGGATAGGCGGGGTGTTTTTGATACCACATGACCAGGTACCGCTGCGCTCAAGCCAAGCTCCATGTTCATCTGGACCTGCACTTCCGTCTGTGATGCTTGTTTTTGTAGAGCGGCGATAGTGGCCTGCATGGATTCCATCTGGCGCTGCATATTCACGAGGTCAGCAACTGGAACCATGCCGGTCCCTGTTGAAAGCGCCCCATAATCATCATCACGTGGACCTTTCTTGCCATTGCCGCTTTTCTTGGTCGAGCTCTTACCATTTGCAACTTTGGCACGCTTAAAGGCGGCAACATCCAAATCTCCATCGGCATCGCGCTTAGGCCCCCCGGGCTTTGACTTTGCGCTGCATATCATACCACCAGCAACATGTTTCCAAAGATTGTGAAGTTGGTCTTCAAATTTTGCATGGATGTTGCGTGCGGCCTCGTGCACAGGTGCCTCTGGGAGGACATTGAAAGTCATAGCATTGCGAAAGACTAGACGCATGTCTGCCGCATATGCATGAGGGCCTGAATAGAGACCACAATCAAGTCTACGTTTGACAGTGCCCAGATCCATTGGCGCATCGATAATGGCGCTATAGTGTGGAACACCAAGCGCAACCGCGTCCACAGGTGCCGAGAACCAATCTGCGCCTGCCAATCGCTCTAGAGAGCTCACAATAGTATGGCAACGCTGGAGGGCTTCTGTCATTTCAAAACTTGCTAGCTCGAAGCTACTTGGATAGACGCTACTGGCTGCACCATCGCGAAGGTGAGATGGTGCCTTGCGTGTGCGCCCCGGCCGCTTGCCCTCGTCACCAAATGGAGGGTAATCTGGCGGATTACTAAGGCCACTGGTCGGGGCGGCTGCAAACGACGAAGGGGAAGCTGGGATGACCCTTCGCTTGTGCGACCTCGCAGTCACGGGAGCGAAGAGATCGGCGGCATTATGCCCTGGAGGCTTGCTCAGGGCAGCTTGAACTCGATTCATGTCTTTACCACTCGGCTTTTGCGTAGATGGAACTGAATTTGATGACTTTGGAGCTGGAAGCGGCTTGGGCGTATACGCCCGTGCAAGTTCAAGGAAGCTCCCGTCATTACGACATGTGCCAAATATGGTGAAGGGGCCATAGCGGTTTTTCCCTTGACCTCGTATGTTCAGTTCACCAGCTGTGTTTGGCACGAATGTCAAAGACATAGAATTTTCTATAACTTTGACAGGCGAAGTCTTCCCTGGTACTTGCAGACAGAAGTATCCCATATATCCACCAGATCGTGGTAGGAGCGAGTTATCAGGTGCATCAGACTTCCCCAACTTGTACTTGTATTCAAACTTAGATGTTTTCGTCAAGTCACCTGACAGCGCCGCCTCTCGAGTCATACCCCAGACGCCGCTCACAACGCCTGCAGCCACACGGCCCACGAGTGTTGGTGAGGGTGTTGATGGTGCCAGGATGGGAGTCTCAGATTTGATGCTGCCCAGTGTGGTGCCTGTCAGAGGCAAGGCTTGTGTTGAATTCTCGAGCTGTGACATGCGCGAATCACCTAGGGGTAGTCGTGTCAACCCCTGGAACTACCCGAAAAGCCTGCAATGAGCGACACAGGAGCTAAGACGATTAGTCTCAGAAATGGAAGCTGGCTCGACAATTTTTGAGTTTCCCGTTGACATCTTTCGAAGGCACCTAATATATGTAATTGAGATTCTTTCAGATCCGCGCAGGTCAATCACACACCGAAAACCGTACATGTTTCGGTCTTTTGGTTCTTCCGATGCAATGAGCGATGTCACTGTGCCAGCAGAGTGCAGTGGTTGGCTGTTAAGTTCACTTTGCAGCGTCGTCTCGTTGCACTTTTTACCATATTCGTTTATATCACAAGGGATTTCGACAGGTGCATCTTTGTGGATTACGACCTCGCCTTTGGCATGATCGTTCGATTGTTCACACACCTTCGCGCCTCGGTCTTCAATCACGGGTTTTATGTGTTGATAAGCCGAGACTTCTGGGGCATTGTCTGCGTTGCTCAAACTGACATCGCCCGTCGACATGTCATCGCCGCGGGAGTCACCGTTAGACATGCGTTTCGCGCGCACCTAAACGAAATTGTAAGCGCAATTTAAACCGTCGCTGTGAACGCATCATTCACCTTGGTCAAAGGCGAGTGCACCCCGGGATTAAAATATCAGCGCTTGATGTAACTAAGTTACGTAACCTAGCATAGAGCGCTTGGACTACTAGAGTAACCTAGCATAAACCGACTTTGTGTCGGGGATTTTTAGCTCTCCCCAGGGCGGTTGCGGGGCGGCCAATTTTGCAGTTTCTGAGTCCTCTGGAGCCCCTCCGCTGGTAGAACTTAACGAGATAGTAAGCTCCGACACGGGGAGGCAGCCTAGCGGGGCTGCCCTGCCGTGTGAGGGTGAACTATCGAGGTTACGCAGTGGCGGTACACCGGCGTCTCTGTTATCCTCACGTCACCTCAGCTGCCGTAGTATACGGGGGCCGGGGCTACTGGACGAACGGGCAGAGGATCTGCCTCACTAGGTCCAGGAAGACTCTCCGTCTATTACAGTGCGGGAAGCAACTATAACAGGGTTAGAAAGTATTAAGATGGGGGAAGGATATCGGGTGGCTATAGAAAGCTAGGATAGTTTACTAGCTTCCCAACGTCGCTATGACGTCAGTCAAACTACTATCCAGCAGGTGCACTGTCCGGCGACTGTGCAACCTCGCTGAGCCTGGTGCTACCTGGCACGTCGCTGTGACGCTAACCAGACAGACACCACAGTAGCATATCAATATGTTTCTCTCTTTCAAAATCAGGTCCCATCTTATCTTGCACTGGCAAGATATTGACTATCCGTTCCAGAGCGGTTACCCAATGCAATACGCAACCACCTGTCAAAATGTCATAGTCAAGACTTAGGAGTTGATTCATGAGATCTTCCAGCTCCTTGTCAGTGCCGACGGCATTGGCGCCTAGGGGCACGGGCAGGACCAGCGGGCCCCGCGGGACGGGCGCGCCCGCGGCAGCCGCAGCCATGAGACCAACGACCAACGGCCAGCGCGCTAACCGACCAACTGCATAGGCCCGCGCGCAACCGACCAACGACCAGCGGGCCTATGCAGCTGAAGTTCAACAAAAAAAAAATAGGTCAGCACGCACGGTTTGGGTTGCGGCACATCATCGCCCGCGCCGCGCAGCGATGACAAGCGTGATTCCCGGTACAATTTCAGGGCTGCGCTCGGCCAAGATATGCCAGGGCCGCTCGGATACCTAGCCAGGTTTTGTAAGGATTAGTTCGTTAAGCAGACTAATTCTTTTGACAAATACGCCCATTATGTGCAAGAAGAGGCATCTCGAGCCAGCTACAAGCCTGGTCCCGTTCCTGTCGAATGGGAGCCAAAGCTGCCCCAGGTCGATTTTCTTACCCCTCAGGACAGAAGACCCTATATCTTCTGTCTCTCTGTATCCTAAATATCCTGGCTGATATATCCTGGCGGCTATATCACCTGCACATCACATATTGTGTCCATCGACAGCTCCTCTGTGCGCAAATCGAAGCGATCGTAGGATATGCCTTCCACACGAAGATTTCAGCGACCCGCTACCGCGCCTCCACCGCGTGGAACGAGATCAAGTTCTCTACGATCGAGTGCCTTCGCAGCAAAAAAATCTTTGCCCTTCTGTACCGATTCGCCACCGAAGAATGCGCAAATTGAAACAGGAACAGGCTCTGCCAGAGCACATCGCAAGGCCGTAGTCACAAAGTGGATGAAAAGTATCGGGGGTATGCACTCGAAAAATCGTAACGAGCTAAGCGTCGTTGATTTGAAGCTTTACTCTAAAATTAGGTGCATCGCATCCTCACAACAGTTTGGCAAACACCTTGTATACTAGGTTTCTTTTAGCAAATTACTGGCCGTTCTTAGAGCTGACCGGGCACGAGGCAGAATGTGCCCCACGCACAAATGTAGAGATTTTGAAGGTTGATCTGGGCAAGCCAAGACAGATACTAGCCGCTACATTAGATACACTAGTCGCAGACCTTCAGAAAGGTGGCATGGTTGGGGACACACTTCTGCGATATTTTGCTGAAGGAGACGTGGCCTTAATAGCTGTGTCCAGAGTGTGAAAGTTATCGAACGTACCGGTACCCAGGCCCCCACCGTCCCACCGTCGCCAAGCCTGGCATTTCATGCTAGCTGCTTTCCATCAAAGCTGTCGACTGTCGTGGCAATGCTCATACTTGATCAAATCGCAGATCTCGACAAGGACGCATTTCCTCTCGCACAACTCATCGCACTTGCCCGTGATACGATTACGGCTGCCATTTTCCCGCCGAATGGCTACACGGAAGACCGGGTTTGCCCCTTCGATACTACAGGCGTGCCACGAAGATACTTGCAGACACCGTACTTTGAGACTCTGCATGAAGCGCGGTTGGCGACTCATGTCTCTCACAAGGCAGGCGCAGATCGGGAAGATAACAGCGCGAGCGCTTTTCACCCCACGACGCGAAGACCCTCTTCATCGGTATCAAACTCGTCGTCTTGCGGCGCAACAGCGCCCAATACTGGCCTGCCCTGGCTCCATGTCATGGATCAGATACACGCGTTACCTCGGTCGATGCGACGCGCACTTTTCTGCGGCATTGCCGCAGTGCAGTTCTGTGCGCAAGATCTACGTTAGAGTCTTTCATTATGCCTTTGACAGGTACGACCGGGCTTAGACGACATCACAAGTGCCATTGTCGGATCTCCAAAATTCCCTGGACTACTTAAGGGTCCGATGGGAGCAGCAGCTCCAGAATCATGGCTGTGGTCATCAGAGCCAATAATCATATCCGGGAGAAAGTTAGGAGACGAATCTACATCTTCCAGGCCATCGCAGCCTCCGAAGGTGTCCCAATCGGAGCAACGACAGCATTCGCAGAACAAATTGAATGGCGAAAATGGTGATTCAACCAATGAAATTACAGAAAGGCCCGAAGATGGGGCATTCAGTGATCTTCTATTACGAATCATTCTCGCGGTAGATCCCAGCTGCCTTGAGACTTTCTTGCGGACTCTAGACACTGATGCACTGGGCACTCTTGTTCCGATGTTTCTCCGTCCATCTCTAAATGCTGCATCGAATATAGGCACGGGTAGTCACGACATGCCAGATCATCGACAGCTCATTGCGCTTCTGAAAGACAAACCCGCAGCGCTTGTTGCCGCCATTGATGGTCTCTTCTTTCCAGGCGAAGAAACGAGCATGTCACAAAAAGGGCCATGCGCATTACAACGTGGGAATGAATTTGCTAGTAGCGGCTCTCCGTGTCTAAATATGTATCATTTATCTTCTCAATTCCCCACTACTGAGGTAGGTTTTGATCCCCATCGCTGTCAGATATCAACTTGCCAACCGGACACGTACTATCAACGTGGACTGTCAGCAGATATGACTGCTCGGGAAGTTGGATGTTTTCTCAAAAACGTAGGCCAAGCAGGTCTCTTTGCTAAGCTCAACGCCGTGTCGCCCTTGTTTGGACCGCGTCTAGTGTGTGAGACGAGATTCAACGATGGAGACCTCCTCATTGGAGCCATCACGTGTATTGAAGATGCATCGTTCCACGAACGCCTGTGGGAACTGTTCAAGTATCAATCAAAGCACCAGTCACCTGAGGCTAAGGTGGTTGAAACGTATGACAATGCCGCAGTCTCGTCTATCCCTCCAGGTGTCAACTGCGCAAAGGATGATGAGTCAAATTTAGCTTCCAAATCCCCTTTGGTGTCAGCACTAACAAAGGAATTCGGAAACAGAATTACTTATGCCCACGACACACTAACATTGCTTCAGGCAACTGAGGATGCTGAACACACTCTCATCCTTGCACCGATTCGTCGGCAAGCAGCGATCATAATCCAGGCTGCTGTGCGCGCCTCTATTCAAACGAAGCTTCATCTATGCTCCTGCAGTACAGGAACGCAGACCGACTCTTCTCAGCCGCGGACACCCTACAATATCGACATTCCTGGATCCATGGCTACTTTGAATCCATTTGACGCAACCCGTGATGATATTCATGCTCTGCGCCTGCGTGCATCTGCGTATGGGTTCGACAGGAACACCGGGATCGAAGAATACATAGCAAAGCTTGGAACTCAAATAGACTGGACCACGTGGCGCAGTAGAGCACTCAACTTAGGATTTGGCGACAATATTGACGCCTTTTTAACCATGCATGCATCCTGTGTCGAATGGGACAGCCTCCGCTATCTTGCACATCACGCTGGCTGCGAGGATAATGTCGAGAAATTTCTTGAGGATAAAGGTGCTACTAGATTTGTTCACTCCAAGGTATCGGCTAAAGTTTCTCTACCTGATACCTTGCAAAATGCTGAGTTCTCGGAGGTCGATGCACAGAAATCCGACTGGGCCGCCTCGAACGTCGCAGAGAGCTCGCCTAGATGTAAGATGTACGCGATAGCATCTGCCAATATTGGAACAGGATCTGATCCACAATTTGACAGTTCAAAGGATAAATCCGAGTTGCTGGAAACTGACATTGTCTTGCAATGCCCCGGCCGTGGCAATGATGCTCGCTCAACGTTCAACATAACGGCCAATTTATCTCCCTGTGATATACTTAATTCGACTGCCAGACCCTCCTTAGATAACCGCGCATCATTGCATCAGAGGACATACATCGATGGCTTATGCGGCCCCACCGACGCACCCGATCTTTTTTTTAGCAGGAGTGAGATTGATGCAGGGGCTAGCAGCCGGCCAAGTACGCAAACACAAGCCCTGCGTCTTGAGAGCGGGACTTTTTCACATCGAAGTCCCGACGGGAATCCCAGATCAGGTACTTCAGTGTCTATTCTAGAATCGACAGGGGGGAATTCTATATCTGAACTATTCGTACCATGGGCCGACTTCTTGTGCCCGCAGTGCTCCTGGTCGGAACGCACGAGTGCAAGCCAAGCTCAGGGAATGAGGGACGAATCGACTATTTTGGGTATCGCAAAATCAACTGACGCTCGGGTGGCAAGTACTTCTCTTATCGGGACCGTAGAGGAACATGCGCCACCCGAAATGTCCATGTACAAGGGCCCTCCTCTCCTCGACTTTGAGAAGCGAATGATTTCAACGCCTTCACAACCTCAAGTTGATGTCGAGTTCTCGCCATATCTCAAATTGCTCGTTGGCAAGGTGGCAGCTAGTACGCTCTCGAATGTCACACCTCTTTCATTGGAAGCATCACTTCTCCGAATAAACCGTATCCTTGCCGATAAGGCTACTTTAGACGCTGCCGTGGCAAGGGATGGGCATGTGCCTCAGTCTCTACCAGGCTACATCTCGAGCTGGCACGTGATGCGATTTGGACAGAGAGATGCAGCCCGGCAACACGAAATACGACTTCGCGCGCGTGTGTTTGCCTTTCTTGGTTCCTATCGTAGGATGACCACCTGCCACGACAGCACTAATGAGACTTTGGACGCCTTCGCCAGGCGCCGTATGCGCCAATTTTGTGACTTGCTTGGTGTGTCCCCGGTGCGTGCACCGCTTTACTCACCCCTCGTCCAGCATCAATTCATAATCCTTCTCTGGCGATTGTTTCCGGGCGACCCTCGCTCAACAGCTGATGCACTTTTACCCGCCCAATTAAGACGCAGGGAGAACGCGGGCTCAGCGTTTCAGAGTCGGCAGACAGATGTAGTCCCACTATCGCGCGTTGTCTGTGCACTGATTGGCTCCGGTCTCAACGTTGATGTCGACGAACCGGTTACTTGGGACGCGCCATACCTATTGCAGGTTGCATCAGAGATGCAGCTCAAACAGCTTCTCAAGAAAGCCCGGGCGCTCCCTCAGGTGTCACGCCGCGACACTTCTGGGGCGCTTCTTGGCCGAGGTATTGCAGTAAATGATATTCTCGACCTTGCCCTTAATTTTATGTTTGATCGAGCTAAAGAGATCCAAGGGCGCCTGCGCGCCAGTCTCAAATCATTTAATCCGAATGGTGATGAGTGCTTCTCCTGGTTTGAGTTCTCAAGTCTGCTTAAGTCCCTTGATGCAAAGCCGAATCTCTCCTTCGAGGACACCGTTCAGCTGTTTGAAGAGGTCCAGGGAGACACTCCGACCGTCGCAGATCAGGCCAGCAACAAGGAAAGCAATACAGAGAGTGAGTGTGCATTCATTGACTCGGTGCGGTTTGCTCGTGGTGCGTGGAAGTCCGGTGTGTTTAAGCATGTGAATAAGACAAAGAGACATAATCCCGCGTCGACGATGGCGCTGCAGGCAGGTATTCGGAACTGTCGTGCTTTGTGCACAGCATCTATGGACCATCAGCCCGATATTTCTGTGGCAGACTGGTGTCCAAGCGGGAAACCAGATTTGGTAAAATTAGAATCAAGTTCCAAGTGTCTCGCCGGGTCCGCTCCTAACGCAAAGCTAAAAAATGCACGTCGCACGGTGGTTGCTGATGCCATTAAGCGTCAAGGAGGTACTAGCTGCGTATCGTTTCAACAGAGCAGTGGCTACAAGAATTTTGGACTTAAAAGTGCCTCCAAATCCCTCAAGTCTCATCCCTCTGGCTGCAAGGTCACTCATCACAGTCCCTCTAGAGGTGTAGTTTTTGCACGCCTGAAGCACAAGCAGTTTGCATCATCTGCGATACCGGCAGCTACCGGATCTTCATTCCAGGTCGAAGTTCTTCAAAACAGAGCGGCAAGGAAGATTTACTAGTAACAATGTTGCTTTCATGTTAACATTTTTGAAAACGCTCTCATGAGACAGCCCTGGCCAAGGGGCACCTTGAGCAAGATGGCGCTGATGTAGGAAACGGCGGTAGCACGCAGTGAAGTACAACGCTGTTTTGGCTGCAGCCCGGTGGATACCCTGGTGGTTCAATCAGAGGGCTGTTTGCTGGGAAGTGAAGACCACGCCCATCCTTCTTAGGGGTGCGGGCCGAAAGAAGGTAAGCTAGTTATCCCCGGGGGCGTT